AATGTGGAAGCCCTATGAAGGCAGATGTCAAATTTTGTATTAGGGTTCTCCAGAGACACAGAACCAAGAGAATATCTACCTATCTCATATGGATTGGCTCTGTGTCCCCAGCTGAACCTCATCTCAAATTGTAATCCTCACGTGTGGAGGGAGGGACCTGGTGGGAGGTGATTGAATCATGGGGGCAGTTTCCCCCATGCTGTTCTCATGATACTGAGTGAATTCTCATGAGAGCTTATGCTTTAAAAGTGTTTGGCAGTCCCCCTGCCCCCCGCACCCGCTCCAGCTCTCTTTCTTCACATCCAGCTTGTGAAGAAGGTGCTTCTTTCCCCTTACCTTCCACCATGATTGTAAATTTCCTGAGGCCTCCCCAGCCATGTGGAACTGTGAGTCAATTGAACCTCTTTCCTTGTAAATTAGCCAGTCTCAGGCAGTTCTTTAGAGCAGTGTGAAACGGACCAGTTCTCTCTCTCTCTATCATCTGTGTAATCTAACTCGAAATATTTATTTTTAAGGAATTGGCTCATGCAATTGTGGGGACTGGCAAATCTGAAATCTGTAGGGCAGGCTAGCAGGCTGGAAATGCAGGTGGGGTTTCTATATTCCTGTCTTAAAGCTCCATATACTTTGTGCATCTCATAGAGTACATCTCATATGTATGTATGAGTTAAGAAAATAATAGTCCAAAGATACAAATCTTGAGGGACTGTCAGTGTGAATTCACTGTAAGCAGCTTAGCATCCTTTTCTCCCTGATACTAGCACCAGTGGAATGAAGGAATGAATAAGAGGAGTGCACATCTAGGGGGCAGCTCTGCGGAGGTGATAGGGGCACTGACTCTAGGGTCAGACTGCCTGGGTTGAGTCTGAGCTCTGTCTCTTTCTAGCTCTGTGACTTCAGCTCCATCGCTTAACTTTTCTGGGTCTCGATTTCCTTATCTTTAGAATGTCATGTTATCTACCTGTATTTGTCCATTTTTACACTGCTATAAAGATGTACCTGAGACTGGGTAATTTATAAAGGAAAGAGGTTTAATTGACTCACTGTTCTGCATGGCTGGGGAGGCCTCAGGAAACTTACAATCATGGCAGAAGGTGAAGGAGAAGCAAAGGCTCATCTTACATGGTGGCAGGTGAGAGTGAGTGAGAAAGCAAAGTGGGAAGAACCCGTTATAAAACCATCGATCTTATGAGAACTCACTCACTATCACAAGAACAGCATGGGGGAAACCACCCCCATGATCCAATCACCTCCTACCAGGTCCCTCCCTCACACCTGGGGATTATAAGTCAAGATGAGATTTGGGTGGAGACACAAAGCCTAACCATATCACTACCTTATAGACATTTTCTGAAGACTAAATCTGTATTAAGTACTTAGAACCTCATCTGGCACATGATAAGCATTCCATAAGTGTTAACGACTACTATTATTTCTGAACCCAAACTGACATAGTGTCCCATATTGGGGAAGGGAGTATGCCTATGATTCTTTAATTTTCCTTTGAAAGTTTTAGCCATGAAAGAAGAAAAGGGTATATTTACTGGAAAGGCAGGGATAAAATGATTGTCTTTAAACAGATATGATTATTTCCCTAAAAGAAGCCAAAGGACTTAGCAAAAAGATTTTTAGAATCAATGGTAGCAGGGAAATGGCCATATGTAAAAGAAATACATAAAAATGAAACTTTCTCCAATATGTCAGTTTTAACTAATTAGAAAATATAGTGGTGGAGGGAAGCTACCAAATTTAAAGGTACCTTATGGTGGATGTCCTTTGTTTTATTTTATTTAAATACACACATACACATACACACACACACACACATATATATATATACACATAGAGAGAGAGAGAGCAAGCAATATGTGAAAATACAACAAGACCAAATAAGGTTTTTCCTAAGAAGTCAAGAAGAATTACATATATATGTGTATATAATATATATGTTATATATATATGTAAAACTGTTATATTGGACTCTAATTCTTGAACTCTTAGGATGAGTCTTATATGGTCCTGTTGTATTATTTTTACATATGATGTAATTTGATTTCCCAATGTTTTCTTAAATTTTTGCATCTTAGATTTTCAGTGTGACTTTTTGGTTAGGTTTTAGTACTAAAATTACACCAGTTCCCTAAAACCCAGGGACTCTTTTTAGCCTTTGTAAGCCCTCGAGACGGTTATACAGTGAGGCAGTTGTGTAGTGAAAGGCAGGATGGTGCAGGTGACCGTGGAGTCAGATTCTGTGCTTTCAGCCCTGCTTCTGTTTCCACCAGCCCCGTATGCAAGTTACACCATTTCTGCCAGCTTTGTTTTCCTCATCTGCAAAATGGACGCAGAAGTAGTACCTACATCAGAGGCGGGTGGAAGCAGGGATGGGGAAGGGTGAGAGGTCACAGATGCCCTGCTGTGAACCTGGCTGAATCTGGCCACACTCTTCACCCACTTGCCTCTTCCTTAGCTGGTCCCCTCCTTTTCTCTGAACCTGAGATCTGGGGCCTCCTCCCTGCCTCAGCCTGCTTCCACCATCGTTGGCTCCCAGTTCCATGCAGGTTTCTTTTATGTATAGGATTTTGTGTACAGCAGCAGATAAGGTAGGAGGTAGAACATTGAAGCGGAGAAATTGTGATTAAACTTCTAAAAAAAATAGGACTTTTTTTTTTCTTCTATGCTTTCTTAAATTCCATTAGGGTTTAGCTTAACAAACCAATTGCCTGGTTTCTCAGCACCTGGAAAAGATGGTGGGCTTGCTGTGTCTTGGCAGTCATAGTTTTCACTGAGGGGCCTGGAATCCCAGAGTGACCACCCTACATACTCACCGTGGGTCTAGAGAATTATGTGGGGAAACACACTTACTCAAAGTGCAACTTTGCAATTGTTTGAAGATACAAGAAGATACAGAATGGACCCTTTCTGAAATTCTCCAGAACTTGGGGCATTCTGAAATGTCTTCCCTGGCCAACTCATGCTTTTTCTCCCTGTGGGCATCGATAGCATGTCCTTTGCTATTCATTTGACATTTACCATTGACTTATAACTGCTGGTAATGCAAATTACAGAAAATCCTTGAGATTGGAAGACTAGGATTTACTGTTTCTAACAGTTAGAGCCCATCTCCCGGCAGGGGTTCACTGATTTTCTGCTCCTGGCTGCTGTCCCTGCTACCCTAGAAAACCTTTCTTGGCAAGTCAAACAAAAAGCTGTCTATAATTCAATTCGGTGCACTTAAATCAAAACTTTCTTCTGGTCTGGTCAGAAGAGTTAGAGGAGTGTTCATACCAGGGTTTTTGAGAGTGAGAGGTTTTTTGTGAAGAATATGTTTTTGCAGATATCCATGTTTACAGGAATCTTGAACTTGTCTTCTGTAGACATTGTGTATTGGCTGCAAGCTTCTTGAGACTAACGCCTTGCATATAAAAAATGTAAAACAAACAAATGAACAAAGGAAAATGGAGGGGCTCACTGAATTTTGAGGGGACTCTGAATGCAGACTCTCTACCTGAAGCAGCTGCTCAGCTGGAGGCTACTGCATGCTTTGCAATTATGCTGCTGGATTTCCTTTTTTCTTTAAAAGAATCTATATTAGTCTGTTCTCATGCTGCTGATAAAGACATACTTGAGACTGGGTAAGTTATAAAGAAAAAGAGGTTTAATGGACTCACAGTTCCTCATTGCTGGGGAGGCCTCACAATTATGGTGGAAGGTGAAGGAGGAGCAAAGGCACATCTTACATGGTGGCAGGCAAGAGAGTGTGTGCAGGGGAACTACGCTTTATCAAACCATCAGATCTCATGAGAGTTACTCACTATCACGAGAATGTCCCCATAATTCAATTACTTCCCATGACTTGTGAGGATTATGGGAGCTACAATTCAAGATGATATTTCGGTGGAGACACAACCAAATCATATCAGAATCAACAAATCATTGTTTAACCATACTTCTGTCTCTCTCTTACCTGGTCAGAAGAATAGAAAATGTAATTGATGTAGTCATTACTGTGAATTCATAATCACAGTATTAGTAGCATGCCTTGGTGAGATCTGTGTTCCCTTCTCTCCAACACAACCACACCAGGAGGCAGGAAAGCACTTCCAGATTCTGTTATACATTAAGCCCTGGTGGGGAGAGGTGAGGATGGACAGGGAATCCCGCTTCCAAGAGCCCCGCCATACTACCTGCTGCTGTGCTGTTGGCTGGCTCCGCTTTTCCTTTGTCCACTGCCTTCCTCTTTCTCCAAACCTCAAAGCCTTTGTTCCTGCTGGGTAGCCAGGACTCATGTTTTTTCCCCTTTATCTCCTTCTACCAACTGCTCTGTGCTTTGGTTCCTCTCTGCATAAAGCAGGATGGGCCCTAGTGGGAGTGGAACTGGGGAGGTCTGCCCTTTTTCTTCCTCATGAGAAATGCAGTGAGAAGGAAGCAGAGGTGAGATGGGGTGTGGGGTAAATTGGCATGTCTGATAATAAGTAGTCTGTAAGCCTTCTTTTGTAGATTCCCATTTTCCTGTAAAAGTATAAGAGAAAAGCCAACAGTCTTGAATTGATACATAGTAAAGCAGTTCTGATTACCCCATGATGTGTTCCCTTTTCCTATATCTGCCCCCACCCCCACCAAAAGGTAAAAATAGCCATGAGAATGATCAAGCAGATCTGTGTTGTTACATTCCAGGAATTTTACTTCATGGACACAGATTTTAAAATTTTCCCAACATGGTCAAGCACGACTATGTGCAGAATCTGTGGATGGAATGAGTTGATGGAGCTTGGCAGTGAGATGCATGTGCCAAACCAACAAAGTCAGACTTCTTTATTTTATTTTTGTGAAAGGCCTGCTATGTCAACATTATTTCAGGATAGATTCTTGTTCAGTGTGGGTCTCTGCTTCTCTGGATACCCACTTAGGTGGGTATGTCAGAACCTTCACGTGGATTGACAGCACGTGAGGTGTCTCTGCTGACTCCTCTGACGCCCCTGTTTTGTCTCCTGTCTCGTTAGGCGGGGCAAGAAGCACAGCATCATCCTAAGGACGCAGCTGTCCGTGAGGGTCCATGCCTGCATCGGTGAGTGACATCTACCCTCAGGAACTAAACGCATGATGAAAAACGCGACTTATGGGAATAAAATAAAGATTCACTGTTATTCTATATGTTTGCACTAGCCCCTATCATTAGTTCTTAGAGTTTTAGTGAAACAATTTCCAGCAGTGATTCATTCCAGCTTCCTCTGCTGTTTGGTTAGTGACTGGAGCGTGAGGTAAGACAGCTTGCTGGTGAGGTTCCTTCTGGCAGTGCTGGGGGAGATGTTCTTCTGGGGACTGTGCCATTGTGAGCCTCTGGTGCATTGACCTGCTCTTCAGGTGCCTCCTGGTGGCTCTGTGAGGAGTGCCTATGGGGAATTGGAGTCTGGGGCTCCAGGTTGTTATCAGATGACTAAAAGGAAAATATTGGGTCAGTGCACGATGAGGGTACATGCGGATACAGGGCAAGATGCTCTTCAGCGAGCAAATGTATTTGTGGTTCAGAATGGCTTGCTGCGGGAGGCCCAGTTTCCTCCTTGTATTGGGCCAAGTTGCGGGAAGAATATAATGTCATAAAAAGGAAAAAAAAAAAAGGAACTGAATTTCACTTTATGCCTAGAAGTTTTTAGTATCTGAGTAATTTTGCTTTTGTTTAATATATGGTGTGGTTTTCATTTAATCCTCTAATCAAAAGAGCATAGATGATCCTGTTGAGACCTAGTCTGCACCCTAAACGTATTCATGGGTGGAGTGGAGGAAATTATTTCTGGTCCCTCCTTTACTCTGCTTCTCTATTGGAGACCCAGGGATGGGGAGACCCAGGGCTAGAGATGGAGGGAAATCCATGTGATTTCACTTCATTTGGTGTGGAGGGTGGTGAGGTTGCAAGTGTCTTGGGTAACAACCTTTGCCTGACTCTGCAGCCAGAGAATAATTGTGTGCGTGACTCAAACTTCAGGGACTGAAAGGTTAGGGTGTCAGTATTGGTAATCTTGTTGGAAACAAAGTAAGACCCGTAGGACCTCTAGCCAACATTGACTATTCTGCTTCTCAACTGCTTGTAGCACTGAGTAGATGTACAATGTATATGGGCACTTATATTAAATCAGTGGCTTTTTTATTACCCACTTCATGTTTTCCCAGTAATTTCATATGTATAAATCATGTGTATCTAAAGGAAAGGTCTGTGACACGACTTTGGATAAACTTCCCCCTTACCCTTATTCCAGATCTAGAACAAATCCAGGCACAAAACATGTACTGAACACTGTTGAAACACAGTTGATAACTACCAGAAATTTGGGACATAAATATGAATTGGTTTTTCCTAGGAATAGTAAGGCGGCAGAAAGCACACTTGTTTGAAAATGAGCTCAATCCAAATCCAAATGATTTTAAGGAAACTCCTTTGCCGTATGTACTCAAATATTTCAGGTACAGGATTTTTTAAAAACAGCTTTGTGTTATTGACTTGTCTTATGAACTTCCGTATCCTATCATCCCATGTGATAGGTGTAAGATGTGTGACATCTTATCCTGTGGCATACTGAGCACTGACAGCCCCTCAAGCCCACACTCAACCCAGGACACATGTGCTCCCTGCTCTAGGGATTGACCTGGGGCTGGTGGAGTCACAGTGCTTGCTCACATACCTCCTTATGCCAATTGCACTGCTTATCAAATTATGTAATTTAATGAAATAGTACCAAATATTTCATACACTAATTAAATATGACTACCTAAAGGTCACTGCTTCTTTGAAAGTTCACTCTTTTGGAAAAGACTCAAAATTAGTCACTACAGAAGCATTTCTGTCAATGTAAATGTGTTATGATAACTATAAAAGGTGAGGGGGAATATTATAAAAATCTAAGAGGATTCTACTCTTCATAAGCATCTTGAGCTCTGTTAGACTTCAAAGAAACTGAGACTGGAAATCAGACCTTGTTATTGGAGTGAGTTATAAAAGGTCTACGTGGAATTCCAATGGGTAGATCCTTATTCAGAGAACTATTTGTGCCTCATCACAGGTAGACTGGCATGTTTCGCTGTAATAGCTACGAGTGCAAAATGTTTTAAGGTCTTGTTTATGTTTATGTATTTTTTATGTATTGTTTTCAAAAGGATTTTCTGCTTTAATCAGCTTTTACCATTAATTGCCTCAGGCCTGATTATGTCAGATGAGAGGATTTGGCTCAATAAACTAACAGCAGCACCCAAAAAGGAAAAGTTTTTCCTTTGTATTAAAAGTCTTAAAATTCCATTTCCTACTATTAGCAAGATCTGGAATAGATTTATTATAATAGCACTAAATATTATCCTTTGGTTATGTATAGAAAATAGAATGTGTGCATCATGTTCATGAAGTACCTTCCCCTGTTGTGACATATTCTTTCCCTTTCTGAATGGCAGTGTTCATTGAGATTTCTTAGGGATAAAGAAAACAATACCTGGAACAATTTTGTGTCAAAATGACAATGGGAAATATAACAAGGAGAAAATCTTTTTCACTTCAGTTGTTTTAGTCCTTGTTTCTTCTTAAGGTTATTTCCCTCTTTGCCATAGAAGAAATAGTTGAAATAGTAATACTACAGGCGTGGGGCATAGTGGCTGCTGTCTCAGCCTAGCACCGCATGCAACTCCCCTGAAGACGTTCCTTCCACCCACGACTGGCCTGGAAGGATGCAGGACCAGCTTTTGTCTCCTGGGCCTAAAATGCTATCAAGTAAATGTCTCAAAAATAATGCTTTCCTCACCCTACATTCTCTTCTCCTTCATTCCTGTTTTCATTAAGTAGAGGAATGTTTAGAATCCAGGACTGCATGTTAATGAGTTAGAGGTGACATGCTTTTGGAATTCTCTAGTGTTCACTTTGGAACCCAGCACCCATTGGGGATGAGTGTGTGGTGGGTGAGCCATTATGGTTAGCAGCCCAGCAACCCTCATGAAAAATGAAGGCCACAGGGCTCTGCTTTGATGGTTACAGCTAGCAGCTGAAGCAGGTCTTTTCTGATAGTGTAGCGGCTCTGAAGCATTTGGCAGGAGGTTGGAATGAGATTTTGGTATAGAGAGAGGCCTCAAGCTTTTGTACCTCTGTGCTTATCTCCACTGGTAATTTTTATTTCTTTTGTGCATTTTTGGTATGAACACTTGATATTGCAGCGAACGCTGCAGCACTTGCCTTCTTAATCTAGCTTCGATCTTTCAAAGAAATGAAAATTTTGATGGTCATATCGTGGGCATACACTTACAGATAAGAATTAAGGCATGTATGATAGACATGAGAAGTCTGTATTTTATGAGGTTAGCTAGAGAAAATAAATTTTTTGGTCCCTGAAAAGTGATCCTATTTCCAGACACCAGAAAAATGTTCAGAGGGCCAACTGGCTCTGATAACTAAATCTCATCATGAAAAGAAAGGAACTAAAGAATTGTGGGGTAAGGAATGGAATCTAGGATTTAAAAAAAATAAGGTTTGAAGTCGTTAGGACCCTAAAGTTCATATCTGAGTGTTTTTTACTGGCTGGCTTTGAAGGCATTTTGTTGGGCCAAAAACCTCTGGGCTTTAATTTTCTGAAGCCGATCCTGTCTTCCCATTAAGAAAGTAAAACCCTGGCGATTGATTCTCTGGGTTCCAGGAGGCCTGTCCTTTCAAGTGTCCAACATTGAGTTAAACAAAAGTGTAAAATTTGGGTGAAGCTTCCAAAATGTCATTTATACTTGCAGCTGTGAAAGAACCCTGGCACAAAGGGCCTTTAGAGGCATTTGAGAATCCTATGAGATGATGAGGTCTGCTTGTGAGGGGCAGAGATGAGTCAGGCAGAGGCTGCCAAGGGGGCTGAAGTGACTGATCTCTGCATAAGATGCATCTAATTACTCAGATGGTCAAGTCACAGGGACAAAGGCAACTTTTAAAGGCAAGAAAATGATATGAGAGAAGGCTATTTCATCCATTAATGCCAGTTTCTAGCAACAGAAACATTAACAGAAAAAGCCATCAACGTATAACTTGCAAGGCATTTTTCTCTTGCAGGCCCTATCATGCAGCCACGTGCTTTACACTGTATTGTTATAGCAAAGAGATGAATTATAAACAGTGCAACATTTCCTCAAGAAGAACCTTCTAGTGCAATGGTAATGAAGGGGATTCACCTCATAGCCAGCCGATTTAGGAGCATTGGCCCCCTGCGGCGCTGTGTTGAGCAAGGTCCTGAGGCTGTGTGCAGTCTTAATGGGAAAGGATCCTGCATCGGTACCCACTTCTACTGGTGGTGATGGAGGTGGTGTACGTATGTGTGCCATTGGGTGGCAGCTCAGGTGAGGTGCAGGTTTTGTCCAGTGCTTGAGCCTCCTGTAGCTACAGTATACGGGTCCCTGGGCTTCTGTATTCGAAGGGTGGGAAATGAGCTGTAATTCATGACCCCCAACCCCTGTCCCCTCTCCTTTCTTCCCAGTCCCTTTCCAGGTTCTGCCTTTGTTCTGCAGTCTGTGAATCTGAGCATGGCTTCTCTCCCACTTCATTGTGTTTCTGACCAGGCCAGGTACCACCTTCTTCCACCTCTGGGTGTCTTTCCCTCTAGTCAATTTGAGCTGGTTTCTCATAGCTGAGCCCTCCCAGCTTGCAGGGAGGCCCCTCTCTAGCTTCCTTTTCTGACATTTCACTAGCCCCTAGGTTGGCCTTTGGAAAATTAGCTGGATTCTCATGTGGTCCTTACTGCTTCTTGGCTCTGGGTCAGTTTGGAATTTCCATAAAAACTAGAGGTTTCCTATGGGAAACAGCAAATTGTCTTTTTGACACCCTTGGCCTGACAGCACTCGGGTGCTGTTTCTGTGCTAGCTAATAAGGATGAGGCTCATGGAGTACTGTGTGCTGAGAGACATGAGGCCTGAATGGTGATGCGTGTGTGCTTGGGCACCTGGCCCCTCTGGGTGATTGCTGTAGGATCCACACAGATGCAGCTGGCCCTCTGTGGTCTACTCCATGGCAGACTCCCCACATGTCCGCTGTATGCTGCAGAAAGGGAATAAAACTGGCTGCTCCCT